CGGATGGATAAATAACGAATAGTGAACATATATTTAATTAACATTTTTTTCTAGTTCTAAACTAGGTGACGAAAAGATATTAATTTGAAAATAGTTAGAATTGTATTTTAAATACAAAAATGCTTACATATACCCACATTTTGGGATGCCTTTGAAAATATAGTAATTATTTTATAGCTCTTAGTTTTAAACAATCAGTTTATCTCAGTCCCTAGTCTCTTCACTGTTCATTTGAGAAAGCATTTGTTTTGCATGAGTTCTTTATGGCCTGCCCAGAACATATGTAATTTGTTCTTTTTATTATCTTTTTCTACATGTGTTTTTTTAACAGTCTTTTTTTCTTTAGTCCTATAAAATAGCCTTAATTTTTCTCTTTCTACTAGAATTAGGTGGTGACCATGTTTTCAAGAAATATCAGATCAAAAACATTTGTTTTTTAAAATTATTTCAGCATATTCCTTAAGTGGTACATTCTTGCAGCTCTGGGCTCCCCCCTTCCCCCCCAAAAAAAACTTTTTATTATGGAAAATTTTAAACATATACAAAAATTTAAACATATACAAAAAATTTTAAACATATACAAAAGATAACAGTATAATGAACCCTTGTGTATTTATCATGTAAACTTTTTCAAAATATTCAGTTTTAAGAAACATATCTCTTGACCTGGCTTGATGAAATGCCCCAAGAGGCATTTATTGTTAGTCTGCGATTGTGTGCTCCATCCTGGTGGAGACAGGAGGGTCTTGGAGCTGCCAGAAGCTGCCAGGTCATGTTCACCTCCACAGGTAAGAGGGAAAGGAAGTCCCTAGAATGGAGTCTGGACTGTGATTCTAAGAGTCTTTTAAGACTGAGAATTTACTCCATAGTTCAGTTAAGATTTATTTTCGCTTTCTTTATTGCTCTTGCCCTGTGGTTGTCTTGTTTTCTCAAGTCTCTGGCAATAAACCCTGTGAAATCAAGAGAGTTCGAGAGCATCAAAGAAACAAGTCACTCTCTCACTGTTGTTCAGAAGCAGGATGAATCCCACGTAGAGAGGGCAGAGGCCGCATCGCAGCGTAACGGGAAGCAGTGTGAGCCCCTAAGGCCTGCTGCAGGGAAGGAAGGTGGCTCCAAGCCAGAGGACTCGGCAGGTCTGCTGGAGATGCCCACGTGGGCCTTGGCGCGGCGCTGCGGCTGTGACCCCTCGCTTTGCCGTCGTGGACTGCAGTGCTGCTCACCGCCATCTGTAGCCCATCACCGTCTGGCGTCCGCCCTCGCCTGTAACTCCCAGCACGGCCATCGCAGCAGACCCGAGATCTCATCACCAAATCTGGACTTCACGCCCTTTATTCTTACCCCGTTTTCTATGTTAAATAAATAACCTCTCCAGGATCTGACACAGCTGGCTCCTCAGGAAGGGCCTTCGGGGGAGACGCCAACCTCTGAGCGCTCCTCCGCCTCTGAGGCTACCTTTTCCTCCCCGCCTTTCCTCTTCCCTCTCCTTCCCCTCTTCCTCCCACATTCTCTTCTTCCCCACTCCTTCCCGGGGATGCACACATGCCATGATGTCTCTCATTTCATAGCCTTTTAAAAAAATGTATTTATTTTTAATTTAAGTATAGTTGGTCTATAACCTTATATTGGTTATATTAGTTTCAGGTGCATAATGTAGTGATTTCACATTTTTATACCTTACAGTGCGATCATCTTACTAATTCTAGGAATCATCTGTCACCACGCAAGCTTATCACAATATTATTGATGCTCTTCCTTCTGATAACCATCCCTTCGGTCTGTCTATACGAGTCTGTTTCTGTTTAGTTTATTTCAGTCTTTTAACACGCTTTCCCTCTACCAGGACCCTGTATTGTTTTCCTTTTAAAGCACTTACTACACTGTATTATCTGTCTTGTCTGCGTTTCCTTTACCGGACTCCAAGCTCAAAGGCAGGGACTGTTTTGTTTATCATGTTTCTTCATAGTCCTATGCAATTCTTGACGTACAATCAACTCTTAGTAAATAATATTTTGTATGAATAAGTGAGCACAGCTGATTCTAAATATCTAGAATCCTTTTGTTGTGAAGATTAGAGAAAATGAACATAAAATGCCCAGCAAGGGGCACGGAATAATAAGCATCCAATTAATTGTAACCATAGTGGACATTGTCATTGTCCTGAGCAGCGGCCCCAGCTTGCTCGTGGCTGTGCGCTCTTCAGAGTTTACTAATGCCTTGCACGTGACAGACACTTAATATATATATGATCGAGTTGAATATACAGCTCATAAGCTGGATATGTAATTAATTGTTCTTCTGAGTCCATGCTTAGAATAAAAGTAACGACTATCTCGAGGACATGTTTATTTTTCATGGAGCATAGAAATTATCTTCTTTTCAGGCACAAATGCATTTTGGTAATAACTGAAAAAATTTTAAATTTTGTCATAGTTAGAAAACTTGAGATTTATCGCCTTAAGATGTTTTAGCGTACAGCACAGAGTTGTCATCTATGCGCGCAGTGCTGCAGAGCAGACCTCTAGAACTTTCTTATCTTGCTATACTGAAACTTTACACCCGGGGATCAGCAACTCCCCATTCCCTCGGCCCCTCTGCTTTTAGGAGTTCATGGAGTCATGCGGTGTTTGTCCTGCGACTGGCTTACTTCACTTAGCGTAATGTCCTTGAGGTTCTTCCATGTTTTTGCATGTTTCAGGATTTCCTTCTTTTTTTATGGCCGAATAATATTGCATTGTAAATCGAGGCTACATTTTCTTTAACCACATCTGTTGAGATAATGCCTCAACGACTGTGGGAGTGCTGGTATCCCTTTGAGATCCTGATTCCGATTCTTTTGGGTAAATATCCAGGTAGGATTACTGGATCACATGGCGGTTGTACTTTTAATTTTTTGAGGACCCTCCATACTATTTTCCATAGTGGCTGTACCGGTTTGCATTTCCACCAATAGTGAACAAGGGTTTCAATTTCTCTACATCCTCACCAACACTTGTCCTAAAAAAAAATAAAATAAAATTTCATAATATCCATCCTAACAAGTATGAGGCAATATCATTGCGGTTTCAATTCGTGTTACCTTGATGGTTAGTGACGTTGCGTATATTTTCATATACCTGTTAGCCACTCGTATGTCTTCTCTGGAAAATGTCTATTCAAGTCCTTCGCCCATTTTTTAATAAGGTTATTAGTTTTGTTTGTTTGTTTGTTTTTGCTAGGGAATTGTAGGAGTTACTTACATATTTTGGATCGCAAACCCGTATCAGATGTATGCTTTGCAAATATTTTCTCCCATTCTGTAGGTTGGCTTTTCACTCTTTTATTGTTTCCTTTTACCTTTGATTTAGTCCCACTTGTCTATTTCTGCTTTCGTTTCTGTGTTTTTGGTGTCCTAGCCGTAAAATTAGTGCCAAAAGCAGTGTCTCGAAGCTTTTCCCCTATGTTTATTTCTAAGAATTTTGCAGTTTCATGTCTTAGGCTTACGTCTTTAATCCACTTTGAGTTTATTTTTGTGAATGGTTTAAGATAAGGGTTCAGTTTCATTCTTTTGCATGTGCAGATCCTGTTTTCCTAACACTATTTGTTGAGGAGACTATTCTTGTCCTATTGTGTATTCTTGGCACCCCTGTCAAAAACCAGCTGACCGTATGTGTGTGGATTTATATCTGGACTCTTCGTTCTGTTCCATTGGCTTATATATCTGTCTTTATGCCAGTATCTTATTGTTTAATTACTTAAGCTTTGTAATGAATATAGTTTGAAATCAGGAAGTTTGATGCCTCCAGCTTTGTCTTCTTTCTCAAGATAGTTTTGGCTATCTGGAGTCATTTGTGGTTTCATATGAACTTTTGAATTATTTTTACCATTTTTGGAAAAAATTCCATTGGGATTTTGATAAGGATTAAATTGAATCTGTAGATCGTTTTGGGTAGTATGGACATGTTGACAATGTTAAGTTTTCTAATCTATGAACCTGAAATATCTTTCCATTTGTACAAGTCTCTCACTTCCTTAGTTACATGTATTCCTAAGTAGTTTTTTCTTTTTAATGCTATTGTAAGTTGGATTTTTTTCTTTTCAGATAGTTTGTTATTAGTGTATAGAAATGCAAGTGGTTTTTGTTTGTTGGTTTTGTATCCTGCAACTTTTCTGAATTCCTTTATTAGTTCTAACACTTTGGGGGTGGAGTCTTAGGGTATTCTGTATCCATGAGCTCATGCCATCTGTAAATAGGGACGGTTTTGCTTCTTCCCGTGTAACCTGGATGACTTTAATTCCCTTTTCTTTCCTAACTGCTCTGGCTAGGACTTCCAGCACTATGGTGAACAGCAGGGGTGAGAGTGGGCATCTTCACCTTGCTCCTGATTTTAGAGGAAGAGCTTTCAATTTTTTGCCATTGAGTAGGATGTTAGTTGTAGACTTTTCATAGATAGTCTTTATTATGTTAAGATAATTTCTCTCTGTTCCTAGTTTTTTGAAAGTTTTTTATATGTATCATGAAAGGGTGTTGGATTTTATCATTCTTTTACTGCATCTATTGAGATAATCGTGTGATTCTTCTTTACTCTTCATCTTGTTGATGTGGTATATCACACTGATTGATTTTCGTTTATTGAACCATCCTGGCATCCCAGAGACAAATCCCACCCGGTCATGTGTATCATGGTAATATTTTTGAGAGAATCCTAAGCATTCTCTTGTCTTGTACATGATAATTTGCTGTTGGACTTAATTTTTTTTATATTGCCAAGTATCTATAACCTGAAATTCAAAAGAATTTGTTAAAATATGTATTAAAAAATTGTTACTATGTATTTTAGCTATATTCTTTAAGGCCTCTGCCTTAAAATCCCAAGAATATGTATTTACATATTATAAACTTTCAATTTAAATCTATGTTAGTATTTAATCTGAATGATGGAAAACAAATTAGAAAAAATGTTGATCTAAAATACTTTCTTTTTTTTTTTTTGTATTTTGTGTTCTCAATCTGGATCAGCATGTCACCTTCATCAACACTGTTGAAAGAAAGAAAAATGCCCGTGCTATCTCCCGAAATCAAATTTGAGACTTCTAATGTCACCAGAAATTCCCTGAAGAGTTGTTTCCTTTTTGAGAGTTGCTGGAGGAAAGCAGTTTTAGAAACGCAAAAGATAAGGAAAGGTAACTTCAATTTTACTCCTATTTTACTTAAGAAAATATAGGAATGGAGAATTTGAATTTACATGTATATTTTTTAAGCAATAAGAGACATTTTATAATTTCTGTAACAGTTAAGTAAGGATAGTATCTTAAGCTTATGGAAAAGAAAAATAGAAGCAAATTAAAGTTAACTTATTTACTTTAATTCTGTAACTCATGATAGAAACATTTTAAAGAATTACTTCTGATATCAGTGCAGTGCTGTCTCTCTTGGGTCATGCTACTTTTCATAAATAGTGTTTGTTTTTAAATACCTCAAGTTGGTTTTAACATCTTAAAAAGTCTAAATTTTTAACAGCACCTTTTTGTATTTTGTATTCTAACCAAAATGTTACTTTTTGAGTGAGTTATGTGGCAAGTATCTTATATCCTATAGTTGCTCAATAAAGACTAGTTTGGGAACTTTTGACATGTAAATGAGTGTATTAATAGCTTTTCTCCTATAATTTCAAATTATAATCGCACTTTTTATTTATCCTGAATTCTGCTGTTAGCTTTATTAACAGGGATATAATTCTTGAAAATAGCAGAATTCGAACTCCTTAAAATTTCAGCACTTCTGTTTTTGAGTATGTTGCTATAGTTTTTCAACTTTTTCACTAGATTCCATTAAAGGTCCTCAGAAGACATCAGTCATCTAGACTTCTATCCCCGAATCTAGATGCTGAAAAGAGAATCTATATGTTTCTTGATCAAGGAAACTATTTTTCTGCAAAAGAGAAAAAAATTGAAGGTTGCAAAAGCATTTTGAGTATTTAACATAATTCCAGTCCCATTAAAAACCATTTTCTATCGCACCACTATACTCACTTAGCAGAGAAAGCTTAAAAACCAGTTCTATATATTTAGCTTAACGATCACCCAAGCCTTTAACCTCTCAGTCTGCTTTTTCCATTTATGGCCTTTGTTTAAAAAAAAAAATTTTTTTTACATAATTTGATAATCTCCTTGTCCAATGATATGTGAGGTCAGTAAAATAAGCGATCTTGATGTTTCAGTGTTATTGTTTATGATATGGTATAGAATTTTTTTATTTATTGTTTATTGTTTATGATATGGTATAGAATTTTGCAGAAAGGCTATGAAAATCAATGCCTGAAGTAGCATCCTTTTATCTCTCATCGCTAGCTCAGATGATCATATATTTACACATCTTGACATAAAAGCAGGAAGGTGGAAAGATTTAAAGTAGTAGATAACAGCGGACTCTTAAAAGTGCTTTTAAACCCTTTTCGATGTGAATGTATCTATAAAAATAATCAAGGCAGAGGATGGTGAGGGCTGTGGGAGATCTGCGAAGCAGTACTTCTCCTTATTCTAATCCCTAATTAGCCCCCTAATCATTTTCCCATACAGTCCCTAAGCTAGGAATTCTAAGGTAGTCTCTTGGGAAAGATGCTAGATAAATCACGGTAACTTAAAATTTCCTTTACTGCACGACCGATTTGGTGTATTTTATTATATATTTTAGTATGTAGTAAAAGGAGTTATATACATTTAATTAAGAAATAACGAAGGCGATTATGATGCTATTTTTAATTAGAATACACCACGGCATTTGGTCTAGAAGAGCTCAAAGAATGTGTCAAAATGCCATATTTACCAGGATTGCAGAGTTGCCAAAAAAGCGTGAGTTCCTCTCCACCAGCGGCTCCCCCCAGACTGCTGTGTGTGGGCACGGAGATACCCCCAGTCAGGTAGGTCGCACCTATTTGATCCCCTTTTGTTGAATATTTATTTATAGTAACATTGCTGAATGTAGAGGTCTTTCTGGCCGGTGATTCTAATCCCTTCTTGCCTACCAACATATTTTTTTTCATAAAGGATTTAATTTTTTAAATCCAAGTTAGCGATTTTTTTTTCATTTTGACAAGTGGACGCTTTTCTCAGTTTTCAAGTGACATTGCCAGAAAGGATATAAGCACTTTCTTTGAAAAATGTTTATTGCTCTAGTGCAGGTTGCTCATGAGACTATTGGAATTTCTTGCAATAAAAATAAATGAACTCTCTGCAACATCAACAGGTTTCATTACCTTGTATACAGAACCTTATGTTTCCTTTCTCGTTCGACCGAAGGGGTGTGAGGGAAGATTCTGAATGAGATGTCAGCCTAGCGAAGAGCCCGCAGTAGCTGTCAGACATGACTTTGTCTGCCAGACAAGTTCCAGTGACTTTGAAATACTGGCACTTAAAAGCATTACTATAAATGCCTTTTTTATTGGACATCGGACCGACTTACCAGTAAAAGAAAACCCCTTTCTTTCTTCAAGGGATTCATAAATTAGTAAGACAGTCTCCTATTCTCTTTGGTTTCTACTTTGGTTTATTTATTTTTTATCAGGTATTTATTGAATATGCCAGCCTTAAAAACAACAAAAAAAAATAGATAAAGATGAAACATTTATAGCAGTCTGAGTTGCAGCTCTCTTTAAGGCAGATTTATATTTTCATATTGTCTCCTGCTGCAATGAGCTTTAAGTCATCCAGTTATTCACAGTACACAAGTAGTAGAATTTCAGAGTCTATTTCTTGATTTTTCCACTGATATTATTGTTCTTGTTAATTACCCTTGAAATAAATACTGGTAACATAAATAGAAAACTAGAACATACGAAAAATGATAAGTTGTGGTTAGTTTCTATCTAAATTATGAAAATAACTAAGAGACTTGCAGAAGATTTGGGGAGACAAAGAAAAACAATTATTTGATAATTTACCCATGCTAACGTATCCATTTCTATTTTGGGGTGTTTTCTTCTAATCTTCACATTTGTGGATTTTAATTTTAGTTGTAATTTCAGCATACTTACACGTTTTTATTCTGCCTTTTAAACTTAATAGGCATGTATTTTTTCATGTCACTGGATAATTTTCAAACAGCCTTTACCGTCTACACCATATTTCATTGATGGGTCATAGTTTATTTAACTGCGTTTAATAACATAGTTTACTTAAAAGTCCCTATCGTTGCACTTTTAAGTGGCTTTGGCTTTTTCAGTTTTGTAAATAACACCTCAGTGAACAATAGCGCACGTAAAGTCTTTCCCATCACTTTTCATATTATAATATTATCTGAGGACAGATTGCCAAGCTCTGAAAATACAAAAAGCAAAATTGCTCTTTCTGAGATGAGGTTGCAGTAACGAGGCCGAATCGGAGGGGGCAGAGGGGAGCAGGCGGTAGGAGCTGAGCAGGAGGGGGACGGGGTGCAGAGCGAAGAGGACCACGGGAAGCACAGCATGAACGCTGCTTAAGGCCCCTGCGCTTCCATCATAACCAAGACGCCTGTTTCCCTGACACCCAGCTCGCTCTGGCCGTTTCACTGGGAGTCCCGGGCCTTCGGGGGGAGGAGGGGAGAGGGTGGAGCATTTCCTAAAGCAATGGCCTTGTCTCAGTCCAGACCAGTCTCACAACCCTTCCTTCACGCAGTCGTGATCGTTAAAGAAACCAGAAACCTGGAGAGCACCCCTGAATTAACCCATTCTGCCTCTAAGTTTTGCTTCCTACCGTTTTCACTCTATTTTAGTTTTTTGTTTATTTTTCATTTGCAATTTGGCTGTTTGTGAGATGATCCCCCTACATTTTACATGACGCGAGTGTGAATTTACCGGTCGATGCAGCATGATCCGAGTATCTTACATCCGTGTCGTGATAAGCGTTCTTTAAATCCAAAGTGGAAGAGAGGTGGCCAAGTACCGCGACGGTTATGAAGTGCCCGGTGAGCGTAAATGTTCATTTTTTTCTGTCTGACACACGCGTCTTTTTTTCAGCCATTCTGGCGAGAACGTGTCGAGCTCCCTGCAGGTCCTTTTCTCCCCTCCACACGCTGCCCGGCGCCCAGCGAAGGAGCAGCCTTGGCAAAGCAGGGGAGTACTCCGTTCCGTGCTGTGTGCGACCCCTAACCCTCTTCCCCACCCCCTATGTGTAAATATTTGATTCTAAAATCCTGGTGAGAGTCTAATGTTTTTTCAGGTCTCTTTAACGATAATTAAAAATTTTCAGTGAATCTCAAGGCACGTTCTGGTAACATAACTGATAACGGCAATCCTAGAGGTGAAGAGTATTTAAAAGTTTTGGCTCACTTCTAAACTTTAATATCGTTATAAGGAATTTGGGATTCTAATGAACTACCTCATCCACAGCAGATTCAGTCATGATGTATTTCCTCTAATAATCTACTTACTATCTAGGTTGATTTCAGAAGGAACAAAAGTGATTTATGACAAATTGCAGATTGTGGTGATGACTCGGGAAAAAGTACACAAATAAGTGAGTTGGTAGCTGGCACATCCAGGTGCTCTGTTAATCTAATCTTGATTTCAATGAACTACCTCATCCACAGCAGATTCAGTCATGATGTATTTCCTCTAATAATCTACTTATTATCTAGGTTGATTTCAGAAGGAACAAAAGTTATGTATGACAAATTGCAGATTGTGGTGATGACTCGGGAAAAAGTACACAAATAAGTGAGTTGGTAGCTGGCACATCCAGGTACCCTGTGAATCTAATCTTGATTTCCTTCCTCTTAGCCCTCCCTGGATGATGAGTAGTGAGAGTTAAGATAAATCGAGATAAAGATGGGACAAGTCAGACATAACACTCACCCACTGGTAGAATTCATTAGCGAAAACCGAGATATTCGGTTGGTTCATATCTGCTTCCGATTAGATCGGTTATCATGGAAGGAGTTTCATTTCTTTAATGTTCATTTAATTTCCATGTGTGTCCTTCAACGAGCGAGTTTCACTGGGAGCCGCTCTGGTCCCCTACTGCACTTCGGAGAACGAACGTACCCTGGGCTTACGGAGAGGTGATTTTATGATAACATGTGATTTCAGGGTAAAGAGGACAAAGGAGACGTGCCCTGTGGTGCCCCTTCAGGAGAAGTCGAAAGGTAGGCGGGCTCACCTTCCCCTTCCACCACATGTCCTATTTGGAGGTCGAGAACTTATTCCTTTTTTTTAACTTTATTTCCGCTGACTTAATTGTCTTCGTTTTGTTAATGCTTCTTTTTAAGCTTTGTTTATTTTATAAACTTAGCGGATTTTGTGTTCAATATGTATATGCCGTTATTGTCTCTGGACGCTGGGATAGGCCCTCATCATCTCCCATGGGGGCCATTGCAGGAGCCCGCAAACTAGTCTGGCTTTGAATTTCTGACCTTAAAAATCCTTCAACACTGCAACAGGAGCCTAAAGTCTTAGCCTCTAGCCACATCACTCCCTCTTCAAAAACAGTAACTCTTATTACCCGCAGACTACACATGGACTCCTTAGCTTGGCGTCGAACCCTTTACCATCTTCCCCTAACTTTCCTTCCTGGCCTTATCTGCTAATTAATGTTTTTCATGAATCCTGTGTATCTATAACATCCAACTACAGACTCTTATCCATATGCCAACAGTTTTGGGTTCAAAAAAATACTCTTACATTGATTTATTCCTAAGTCCATGGTGGCCGAGAGGGTTTATAGCTCCAAGGTGTATTTCTACCTTTTGGGGTACGGGTTTGTTCTTTGAATCTGTAAAATCAGGCATTCTCACCTTTATATTTCTGATATGTTTAATCAGAGTTTTGTTTTTCAAAAACATACGTTGAAAATCTCTCTTGAGCCAAGTAATTAAACTTTTCACGATGTCTACAAGGTTATGGAGAATCCTTTGGCAGCTCGGTATCTGGACTTTCTGTCTCATCCCTCACTCTCATGTGTTACGGATTCCTGGGGGCTTCATACCAAGCGAACCACATAAGGCGTGCGGCATAATATATGTGTCAAGGGCTTACGTTCTCCACTAAATTCTTAACCCTTTCTGAAATACTTTTACCCAAAGTTAATGGTAAAGATTCTTGAGCCACACAGTCAAAACTTTTCCATTTTGTCATTATATTTCCTTGTCTTTCATAGATTATTATCTAAGCCAGGGTTTTCAACAGTGACAGTGTTAATATTTTGGCCCTGATAATTCTTTGTGTTGAGGATCTGGCCCATGCATTGAAGATACTTAGCAGCATCCATGCCCTTTACCCACCAGATGCCCTCCACGAGCATGGTAATCAAAAATGTCTCCGGACGTTGCTAAATGCCTTTGCGGTGGCAAAATCACTCCCAGTCGGGAACTACTGGACTAAGTGTAACATCTTTAATATTATATGTTATTTACTACTTGTCCTTCAGACTGTCAAATATTTCCTCCTTTGCCTAGGGGTAGTAATTCTTTCCTTACCAGATTAAGACTTTTTAAAACTTTATTTTTGTCATAATCATAGTTATCTCCTTCTAGTGCATTCATCAATTCCATGAGTTCACACTCGTGGAATAACAGAGTTAATAGAGCACCTCTAACAGACCACAAAAACTAATGCGCTAGGTAAGACATTGTGGGCAGCAGTCAGAATTGACTCGTGAGCAGCTTCGCAAGTTCAGTCTCTAGACGCTTATATGGTTAAATGTCTGTGAACTTCTCCTTGGCTATTTCTTCTCCGTGAATTCCCATATACTATAAACAATTTCTGTGATCGACAGACAGTGTAAAATAAAAATATGTGTTAAGTTAAACAGAAGGCATTTCTTTTGCATCTTGGCCCAAAAGATGCCTGTCTGTTTTCCAGTAGTCCAATTTTATGGGTACTATGGGCTGAGTACTATGCTCTGGGTACTACTATGCCTTACCTCTGTATCCTGCGGTGCCTACACCAGTTTCTGCAACCTACTGAGTGTTCAGTAAATACTCGTTGGTTTTCCTTCAGAGTCATGCAAGATGGCACTTGATTTACTCATTTACCGAATGGGAATTGACCACCTACTCTGTGTCAGGCATTGTTCTAGGTGCTTGGGCTTAGGCTACATCCTTTGACAAAGCAAAGAGCCCTGCCCTTGTGGAGTTTACATTCTAGCGAGAGAATACAGCCAACGAGCATTAAATATACTAACGAGGCCCATTATCTAGTGTGTTAGAAGGAGGAAGGGCAGTAGAAGCAACAAATAGAACAAGATAACATGGATCGGTCCGTCGGGGCGAGAAGGACGATTCGCAGTTTTAAACAGGGCGATGAGAACAGGTTTGATGGAGACGGTAATATTTGAGCAAAGACTCGAGAGTGGCGAGGGAGTTAAACTCTGGGCAAACAGTTCTCTTGGCGCCAGCAGAGGTCCCAAGGTGGGCTGGCCCCTGACCCGTTGGAAGGTCCCAAGGCGGGCTGGCCCCCGACCCGTTGGAAGAGCATCAGGAGCCCAGAGTGGAAGACGAGGGAAGAAAGGTGATGGAGGATGATGACGCGGGGCCTTGGAAGGGACAGTGTAGTTAACTGATCCAAACGAGAAGCCACCGAATGCTTTTAATAAAAGAATGATTTTAATGTGATGTGACCAGTTTTTAAAGGGTTATCGTGGCAACTGCCATTTACTTCAGTAGTTACACTTTTTTAAAAAATGGTCCATGGGACTTCCACCTCTGGCGGTGTTGGAATAGCTCTCATCAGACCAAGTTTACCGCCCCAAATTAACATTAGCATAAGAGCTAATTATAAAGATATCGTGCAGATGTATTTTATAATAAATTAGAATACAATATAGAAAGTAATATATTATGATAAAAGTAATAAAAATATTAAAAAGCAACTATTTGAAGGTGTCGAGAGCGATCATGTTCAACAGGCCTCGAGAGGCTGAGACACTAGAGAAATAACTGCAGAGAAGTGAGCCCAGAATTCTGCGGACGGTTCTCCCAGCCGGTGTTGGCCCATCTCTGAGGGGCCTGTCTGCTGGGAATACTTCAGGACCTAAAGCAGAAAAGATCTTAGAGGCTAAAGAACTGAGCAGAGGTTTCAGTAACTTCATATTTGCTGAAGAGACAGAGGTGGAAGTTTAAGGCCTGCCAAGGGGAGCCCTGTGTAAACCCAGCTTTCGGCGGGAACTCCTGGAGGACTACACACTGTTAGACATTCCAAGACTAGACTAGCTTTAGCACAGCCCGAAACCCAGTCCTGACTAGGTTAAAGTATTGAGCCTGCCCGAAGACGATTAAATCTCGGATGACCCAGAGCTTTGCAGGTAAGTAATTCATTTGAGTTTTGTGAATCACTTGTTTTCTTTGGAGTAATCTTTTAAGGTTGATTCAGTCAACTTAATTTTAGGACTCTTGAGGCATTCGAATTCTTCAGTCAATTTTGGTAAGTTATATTTTCTAGGTTTTTTTTTTTTTTTTTCGCATTTTGTCTGAGTTTCCAAATGTATTGGCATAAAGTTTAGTCTTTGCTCTACGCTACATCTTTCCCTCTTCTCCTAACATTATTTATTTGTTCCTTTTGCCTTTTTTCCTTGATTGATCTCACCAGAAGCTTTCTTTTTTTGTTAGTCTTTTCAGTGAAGTACTGTCCCTTTAAAAATCTTTCTTATTGTAAGTTTGTTTTCTCCTTCATCAACTTCTCTTCTGCATCTCCTTTTTTCTTCCACATTCTTTGGGTTCATTCTTTTCCTAACGTATATCTTATACCTACCTTATTAATTTTCAGTCTTCTTTTCTACATTGGAATTTTAGCGTATAAACTTCTCTGTGTATACCTTGCTACACCACAGAAGTTTTGTAATATTTTCTTTATCATCTAGTTAAATGTTTAGTATTTCTTTTATTTTTTATTTTTTATGGTGACATTGGTTAACGAAATCCAGTAAGTTTCAGCTGTACACTGGAACAATAAGGCATATATATATTTACACTGTGTGTTCAACTATTTGTTTTTTGACCGATGAATCATTTAGAATGTCTGTATAAATTTCTAAATATTCGAGAATTTAAATTGATCTCATTGTTAACAACTTCCAACTTAATTGCATCAGTCAGTATGATAACAGTTCTTTGAAGTTTTTCAAGTATTGCTTAATGCCTAGAATCTAGTTAGTTTGTAGCCAGAGGGTCTTTCTAAGTGTCAAGTCCATTGTACTGCTAACAACAAGAATCCCTATCCATCGTATTCTTAGCTTCTACTCTCTCTCTGAACTTCTCACTCATGTGACACACTCATACAAAACAAAGCCAAAAAACCCAACCGCACTGGAGAATCGAAGACAGCTTCTTCGACACTTGAAACTGTTTGAAGTTAAATCATAGTATTTTAAAGCGACGTAGATTTGCATGTTGTTTTCAAAGACTTGTACGTTTCTAAATAGAAGTATTTATACATATTTACATATTTAGGACAATATGTAGTGATTACATGAGAACTTTGAATTTAATGGATCTAGGTTCAAGTTCTGTCCCTAACGGTTACTAGGTGTTTGTCCTCAGGCAAGTGTTTTAGCCTTACCGAATCTTCTGAAAATCGTAAGCCAAGACAGTACTAGTCGCCTACTTCATGGTGCTGTGTGCATGAAATAGGTGGAAAGAGTACTTGACTAGAGAGATCATCCAGAAACGTTATCTATCGTTGTTATTACGATTCCCACTTTGTAACAGAGGCTCGATTGATGCTGTTTCAGTTACTGAATGGCTTATTTTATTTTACAATTTTATTTTACTTCACTTAGCATTTACGAGAAATGGTTTCCTTTGGAGAAAACAACTTGATAAGCATATACATTGTTAAATGAGCTAAATATTCATGGAGACTGTGCCTTTTATCTTGGAATAAAGTCCACAGCTATCCCATGTTTTAAGAAGCACCTTATAGATACAGATCTAGTTTTATATAAGTAAATGAAAGCATCACAGGTGTTTTTAGTTAAATATTTTTCGCGATAACTTGCTATCACGTCACTTTAGAAAGCAAGCAGTGGCCTTTCTACTTCAAAGAATGTGTTATGAGAGGAACTGGCAGTGTTTGATGGTCATTGGAGGAACAGATGTGTCGCGTCCACTGTATTGTACAGGAAGCATTAATGTGTGCTTAATTTTAATAACTGACCTTTTTTTTTTTTTTGGTCACAGGTTCTGTCTTCAGCAACCCTCTCCCTGGAGCACCGTCCCAGTACTTACAGAGACTTTCCAAAATGGCCATACTGGAGTACGAGACCATTCGCCAAGAAACGACCAGAAAATCGAAGAAGGGGAGGAAACGCGATTTGCGAGACTGCTGATGAGTCTCACGTGGCGCGAGGCCTTCTCCACCCACTTTCGAGGTTTATACTTGTTTCCTTTCTTTTGATACGTGATATGATGTGCAATGATTTACATAAAAATGGAAATGTAAATAGGAAATAAATATTTTACATTATATACAGAATAATTTGTATTTTGTTAACATTATAAGACATTTATGGTTTATGGGGGTGTACGCATAAGAAAAAGTATATTACGTGAATTTCATGCACATTGATTATATTTTTTGATTCCCTCTGAGAAATGTTTCTTGAGTGTCTGTCTGCACAAGGACCTTTGTTAGGAGCTGCAGAAGATTCAAGAAAAAGCAAGTTCTTGTTGTTGGGGTTGGAAGGCGTCCAGCTAAACACCGCCCCCCCTGCCCCCCCATTTCTCTGCTCGAGTTTGAAATGGCTGTGAGATAAGTAGTCAAGCAGATGGAGGTGAAAATATTAGCTTTGTTCACTGATGAAACCTGGAAGGGAAACCCTGGATTAGATGTGCGGCAACCTCTTAACAATGACCTTGAGAACTGGGCCAAGGCACACACCCGGTGGTGCTGGTGACCTCAGGCTCTCATGCCGAGTCAGGGCCCAGCACAGCAAGGTGTCCCCGCCGTGTGGACTGGCAGATCTCTGAGGGGAGGAGTGGGGAGACTCACCCCTTCTCTGTGGGGAGGAGGAAAGCCGCTCCCCGAGGAGCGGGGGGAAGTGTTTGTCACTGCACCTCCCCGAGAACCCGGGAGAAATCCTGGCCCCCGTGACTGAGGTCCGGTGGAGACTGGGACACGGGCTATAGCAGAACCACGAGGTTCGATGACCGGGCAGTAGCATCCAGCAGGAAGGCCTCATGGCAGATGCAGTGTTTGAAGTGGGCCTCAAAGACAGGAAAGATGAAGGGAGAGGGCATTTCCAGAAAGACGGAAGAACGTAAGCAAACACACTGCCATCAGGCCGGGGCCTCGGGTGGTACAGGGCGGGTGGCACAATTCGCATGCCTCCCGGTACCAAGCCAGTGCCTCGGGGCGTGACGCTGATCAGACGAAGGCTGTGGCGGGCCGGCCCTCACTGCCTAGCCTCGGCTCTTTGTGTCACACGGGGATGTCGGCACAGAGCTGACAGGTATTGCAACCCTTCGTGAGAAGCCAGACTCTGGATTTTTGCGTGAAACCTTTCGATGTGTACATGTTAGCAACCAACGAAATAAGTAACTAATTCAGAACTTACAATGCCATTGTGTGGGCCAAAGTTACATATGCAAGCTAGACTTGGCTTCGAGGGACTATTCATTTATGCGACCTCTGGGTCAGAAGAGGAGAGCACGCTAGGGCTTGAGGTGACTGGGTGACATCTGGTAGAGAGCGTCGGATGCTAAGCGTGAGCGTTTATTTCCTCTGTTTCACAGTGGGAGATTTTTTTTTTTTCCTTAGTTAAAAATGAACTCGATTTGTTTAATAAAGCTTGGTATTACAAGCATCGAGTCACACCCCAAAATGGGAGATTTTGAGCATGACAGTCAATTATCGCTTTTGTGATTTAGGAAGATTCATCCGGGTATAATTGGCAGGCCGGACTGTGATGGGAGGAGATTGGACGTAGGGAAACCAGCGAGGAAGTGTTTATAAAAATGGAGGTAAGAATGTCTCACTAGAAAGGCAGGAGCAGGAATAGGAAGGAAACACTAGATAATTAGGACATCGAGGCAAGGACGTAAGATCAACGTAAGGGCATCAAGAGAGGAAGAATCAAAACCCGCTCATTTCCAATTTTACACATACGATTCTCGGGAGGAGGCGCTGCTTTGGGGAATAACAGCATGAAGCAACTTCGGGCATATTCAGTTCGAGGTGCCACCGGAACAGCCACACAGAGGTGCCAAACAGGTGGTCGACAGCAGGGGTGTCATTCCGGAAACGAGGCTGACCGGAACGAGAGCTTGGAGAAGCACGTGCCTGGCAAAGGCCGAGTTCTCCGTCTGAAAAAGCAGGGTGGAGAGAGTTCGGATTCATAAGAGATGGGAGGAAATAGGAGGAAGGCAAAAATAAAAGTGAAGAAGACAGCGCCACAGATGTAGGAGAACGAACATAATTTACGTCCTCGCATGCTTTATATTAATGCGTAAAATGCACTTAACATGTATATGCTTGTGTGCATTTTCACGATGCATTCGTTCCCATGGGGATAACTAAATAAACTTAAATGGATGTGTTTGTGCCTACGTCTGAATTTCGATTGAGAATGACTTAGACATGAGCTCTACCTTTTCCATCGTCTGAGAACCCATTCCAAGTGTGGTCAATAATTTAAGAAATGGGAAACAGGAGAAAACATACCGTCTAACAAAAATTTGACGAACTCTTTTTTGGATGAGCACTTCTAAACACTTCCGATCATCAAATGGATTTCATCTATTGAGCGCCTACTGTGTACACTAAATGTTTAATATTATTTGAAAACCTTATGAAAACCTGTTTTATAAATGAGGTAAATAAAGGGTCTTTGTTTTACACTGCATCTCTAGCTAGAAACTAGGAATAAATTCTAACCTATTAGGTTCCAAAGCCCATGTACATAATCTTAATGGAATAATAATTTTTAAAAAACTTAAACTTGGTTGCTACAGCATTGTTTAGCTACTTAAAATTTAGGGAAGGGAAAATAATACTTCCACAGAGAAAAATATCTCATAATATTGAGTTGAGTTCCTGACCTGTGACGCCAACACGTCTCGGAGAATTTTGACCAGTAGAGTAGAAAGACCCCCTCTCCTCCACCCCCATCTCTCCTGTGGAAGAGTTCAACTCAAGTCAATTCAAGAAAGGAATGCTGCGTTTATTCCTTTTTAATAAATGAGATATACTGACCATAATTAATTACCTTTTTTAGCGTCGGGTTGAATTTAATGGAGATTATGTTTTTCATTAAATTAAAAAAAAAGAAACAAAAAAAACACAGCCTCTACTTTTTTACATCGCATTTACTCTTATTGTTCCTCATGAACTTTTAAGAAAAACCAGCAGGTGTTTAGGGCACAGAAGGCTCAAGTCACCCCCAAGTAAAATAACCCCCCGATTCAGAGATAAGGATGAGGTGCCGACTTCTGACACTGCAGTTACCATGGATGTTAATTTATGTTTGGGGCTGAGGCAGTCTTGCCAGAAATGATCTTTTGCATCTGTGGTTTGGAACTTCCTCCAGTATAAGTCAAATTATCGAAATCTTGGGAATCGGGACCTTAAGATAAATATTCAGGATGAGAAGACCGAGTCCTGATTTTAGAGTGAGAAAATAGTTCTTTACGAAGAATAATTACTTCGGTGAAGGACAAATCATTCGTCAGTGATAGTTGCAAAGAAATAACCTAAGACTCGCTGTATTTTCTCTAATTCTAAGCTCATCAAGCAACCCTCTACTACGTAATTTAGATTCCCGAGTAAAGAGAGTCACTGAAACGCAGATGCCTTCCCTGGGGCACAGTAATAACGAATTTTCTTTACAGGTTCACTGTGTACAGGGCGTTGTGCTAACGCTTTGCATCTGCCTCATCGAATCGTCCCAGCATCCTGGTTTTCCAGCCCCGGTCAGCTCGTTCTCACTCCATTCCTTCTCTCCGCCTCACGGGCGCCCTTCCCCAGCCTCTCACGCTCAACCCGTCTCCTTATTTCACTGAGAGCTGGGAGCAGTCGGGAGGGCGCTCCCGTTCGCTCCCCTGTGAGCACCCTTGCCTCTGTGCGCCGACATTTCCTGCCCAAGCCCGGAGAGCAGCCCCTGGCTTGGGCTCCGATGCACCTCTCTCCCCTCCCACTCCAGCAGTCGGGCCCCAAGTCACCAGCATCCCCACCCCTGACACGGTCATGCCCCAGAGCAAACACTCGCTGCGAACCTCCCGTCTTAAACACGCACACGTCTGCCTCGCATGGGCCGCCCTCCGTGTGCTTCTTTTTACACCCTCACCAGCCACCTCTCAGTCTCCTATACGAAGTCACACAGCTAGCGAAGTGGCAGAAACTTCTTCTTATCCATTTCTGCATCCTTGGTGCCTGACACTGAGCCCCACACACTGTGTGAACTGAGAAACCTCTTTATTATGTCGTGAGAAAGAATGCAGAGCCGGAGGTCAGTTGGCGATGAGACAGTTCAGACCAGAGACACTGGACTTCCCAGTGACCACGAGGGAGACAGGACCCACCGGTGGAACCTCCCAGGAGACCCGCACAGGTCCGTGGTTAGGACCTGGCACCAGGAAGCTGGGTCTGGCTGGCAGCACTGAGTCGAGAGACCCCTTCCTGGTCTGTCGTCGGGAGCCCATCATCTCAGGACAAATTCCTGCAAAACGGATGCTGAGATGGAGCCGTGTGCCCAGGAGGTTGGCTGGGGACGCCGTCAGGTACGGCAGGTGGGGAGAGTGGGCAGGAGGCAGGGGCAGAGGGCCGAACAGCCGTGTGGCCTCCGTGAAAGCCGCAGCTGAGGCCACGCAGAGCCGGGTGGCTGGAGAAGACCTGCAGGGCTGTCAGACCCCCAAGCCAGGAGACCTCACCCCTCGTCCCACTGACCAGTCCCTGGATGCGAACTGTGGTTGGGGAAGGACGTGACCAGGGCGAGGTGGCTCCCTGCTGCTCGGGGAAGCTCCTGAAGAAGGGGTGGCCCCCCCAGGGAGACCCGGCTGGCATGCTGCAGCACCCACTGCCCACACCCCGAGGACGCCACGGCGTCGGGGTGCAGGCAGTGAAGACGAGCCCAGGGCTGGAGGGAGGAGGGCGCTCGGCGTGCGCTGGAAAGGCTCCTGCGAGGGAGCGGGGGAAGCGAAGACCCCATGGCAGGGTCTGGGAAGCAGACGAGGTCATGAGGTCCCAGAAGCCAGTGGTGGCCGTTAGCACCCTTGGGGCTGAAGGGCCGGGGGCGGAGAACGTGTCGCCCGAGCTCAGCGGGGGCAAGAGCTGCAGAAGAACAGCCTGGTAGGACACCCGAAGGCGCAGCACGGAGGCCTGTAAGTCCCCAGCCTCTTTTTACGGTCACGCTCCACCTCCAGCCCAGGGCCTCTCACCGGCTGGTTGCAAGTCAGGTGGGCACAGGGCCTGG